ATAGACTGACCACACACCCCTTTACCATCACTGCAAACCTGCACTTTTAATTCATTAATTAGTTAAATGCTACTATGAGACCTCAATCTTTCAGTAAAGTTGACAGTTGATACTTGCACTAGTTCATCACTCACATGCTGCTTTGATGCCAATCCATGCATATGTATGTGTGTATTTACATATATATGATACCTATTTGTATATATTTGATTGATGTCCTGTCTACTATTTATTGTCATGTGTGTTTATTGTTCTTTATTTTTATTGTCTGGTGTATTTATTGTATATTCTGCACTACTTTCACACTGTTGTGTATCTGCACTCTGTAGTCCTGTGTAATGTGCTGCTGTTGTGTGTTGCACCACGGGGCCTGAAGACTGACATTTTACAATGTATGCAAGTTGTAATGAGGAAAGACAGTGAAGACCACTTGACTTTAACTTTGATAATATGGACCCATTCAATCAATGGTAAAGCTAACACTGGAGCTAGTCTATAAGCATGGTTTTACATAGTTTAATCCAGACCTTTTTATGATCAGCTTATGATGGTCTATTTTAAAAAGAAGTTGGACCATGCAAGGTAAAAGGTTTTGCAGTTTGAGAGAAAGAAGGAAGAAGAAGATAAAATTTAAAGAGAGGGTGCTCTATTGATTGTATTTATCTCTTTATCTCTGCATTATAGTGAGCAGCACAAGCAAGACAGAACGTTCACAGAGAGAGCTGAGAAATGCTCTGTGACCCCATATATTCAGCTGAATGGGTGGGTCAGTTTAGATTAGAGAATAGAAAATATGTGTTGGTGTGTTTAGAGGAAATGTCATTTTGCCTTGTTTTGGCTGATCACTTCGCACTTTCTGTGGCCATCCTAATGACACACGTGCATACACAGACACACACTGAGCATAGCACCTTGTGAGCACAGAAAAGCCAGAGAGGGTGGTCACTTTCACAGGTCATAGGTCATTTGGGGGGGCCTCTAGCAGGGCGTTGACATGACTAGCAGCAATCACATTCTTCACAGTGTTAACATTCTCTGATTCCCTGCAAAATCAGATACAATAGCTGAATGATGGAGAGACTAATGCTTGGAGCCTGGTGACTGGTGCTAGGTGTATCTTCCAAGCAGAATGACACTGGGGGAATCTAAAGCTAGTCTGGGCCCATCTGTGCAGTCATGAGAGAAAGAGAGTAAGGGAGAGAGCGAATGGATGTAACTTTTTATGTGGCCAGTCGATGTAGCCTCTACTATATTCGTTTGAGAGTGATATGACACATGATATGGCAGTGTAAAATTGTGACTGTGTACATCGTGATGCATCTTGGAAAATGAACATTCAATTAATTATGCCATCTAATGCAATTGCTTTGGTTGATCACATTTGCAAACGATCAGCCTGAATCACCAACTCATTTCAGCTCCGCTTTTCCTCCTGAGATTATAGTCATCATTTTTCTTCATTCAAATTCTGCTCAAAGTATCGTGGGCTGAGTGTCATTACACCCCAAGTTGATCATATCAGTTATTGCAGATCCGTGTTCATTTCAGCAGTAAGTGTTTGATATGGCACAATAAAAATAGTTACAAAAGGGAGGAAACTGAGTGAAGAGATTGCATATAAAGATGACGCAATACAACTTTTTCTTTGCTGATAATGATACCAATATTGGAACCTTGAGTATCGGCTGACACTCATCCAGTCTGTCTAAAAGCGCTTCACTTAAGATGAGTGTCTAAAATTAAGCTGTCATGCTCTAATTTCTCAAACAATTTACTACCCTACAAGAAGAAATACACAGCTCATAACATCACATCACACTATGTGAGTGTGTGCTATGTCAGACTAGATTTGTTACAGGGTTGAATCGGTTTCATTGTTTAATACCTGGTATCATATTGCACTAATTGCACAATATTGCCTGTATCTGTAGGTGCGTGACTCTGAAGAGTGTTTGTGGGTGTGTGAGTTCAGAAGGAAGTTGTGTGTGTATAGTGTTTTGTTTGAGCTTTGTGCCTAGGATTTGCCTGGGAACACTAAGGAACTAGTTATAAATTAGCACTTGACTGTCATAGTCTGTATATAGCTCCAATGCAGCCTAAATAAGTCCCCTTACTACAGCACACATACATAAACCTTTCTGAAGTACTCCACCCCCAGTAAATAGAGTTTTGAGCTCTTTTTGTGCTTGGGCAATAGCATGATCAGAAAAAAATGTTTTTGTGTGCCAGTATGTGTGACACTGGTACAGTGAGCCCAAGTGAAGCTTGATGATGCAGTTAATGTGGGGTTTGGGAAATGGGGGGGTCTTGAGGGGTTTCCAGGACCCCCCACCTCATGGCCCATTCACACCCAGTGCTGTGTGCCTAATGTGTGGGTCGTGTGGGGGGCCCCCAGGGATCGGGGCTAAAAGTCAAGCGCTGTGAGCTGGGGTCAGAGCCAGAGCTTTAGCAGAGGGGCACACAAACACAGTGTTACCTTCTGACCCTCCGCTCATACCTAGAGCCAAGGACAAAACGCACCGGCCTGTCGCATTAGACATGGCTGTTAGCGGAATAATGCTAGTCCCACTCCCCCATCACACATCAGCAGAGAGAGAGCAAAAATAAGCAAGAGAGCAAGCTTCAGACTTTCTCAGCTCCCTCCTTTTTCTCACTCCTTGCTACAGCTTAATCGCTCTTGCTGTCTCTGCTTATCTCACTCTCTTTTTCTGTCTCTTATTCTCTCTGGTTCCCTCTCCCTCTGCACTGCTGCTGTGCCTGTGTTGTATGTGGGGTCATAAGCTCACATAAGCTTACACAGGGCCTGTGGGGTTATCTTGCCTGCTAATGCATGCTGTCCCCATTCATGCCACATGCTCTCTGTCAACACTGCTGCATTTCTACGAATACAGTGCAGAAAGAAAAGGGGAGAGCTGGAGGGTTACATCCACCAGCCAGATAATATGTGTCTATTGTTAAGATGATCACACTGTTCTACAAATTAAATTCCAATCCTACTGTTGATCTTTTGTTTCACATGATGCTCTTGCAGAATGTTTAAAAGTTTAGACACCTGCTTGTTTCTTCTGATATCAAGGGTATTAATAAACTGTCTGCCTACCTTTTGCTGCAGTAACAGTCTCTACTCCTCTGGGAAGGCTTTATTCTAGATATTAGAACTTATTTAAAAAAATCTGATTGCATTCAGCCACAAAAGCATTAGTGAGGCCAGGTACTGATGTGATATGTGTACACAAATGTCTGCAGTGGGTGCACCTTAAAGTAGCTGAATTCTTTAAATACGAGGGCTGCCTAGATACTTTTGGACATCCAGTGTCCAATGGGTGTTTTTTTTGTGCTTGTAATATGCTTCTAGGAAGAGATCATGAACTGCTCAGTTCTTTGTGTGATCTAATCGATACCTTTTACTTAGATTGTACTAAGAGAAAAACTGTACCATCTTTGAAATCAGTGCCTTATGTAGAGAATGAATGAGTGACTGAATGTGGTTTTAAATTGAGAGAAGGAGCAACTGTCACTCATTAGATTAAGAGAGGAGGAGCTGTCACTACTGTTGCATGCCTTTCAGCCAATCAGAAAAGAATACTACGTCATAAACGGCACATTTTGCAGGCTTTATTGATTAAACAAATCCAATATTTTGACAGTGTTTTACTGATGACCGTTTATTTTACCCTTACCCTGTAGGGCCGTATCCAAGCTCCACAGACAGAGAGCGTTCATTCGCCTCCATACTTCTGAGGTCACCCTTCAAGCTTACAGCTGACAAGTTTCCCTTCCTAAACCTAATCCCATCCAAACCTCAACTGCTGTCGGTGAAACTGTTAAACTGCTCCCAGACTGATGTGAAATGTCAAATCCTGCCTGCCATCATCCTGCCCTGCCAAATGTGATCCCCCCCCCAGGTCTGAGAGGCTAGAATGTTCAGAAGGGATGCAGCAGTTACTCAGCAAAGCCAATTAGTCATCAACAGCCTCGACTATGGAAAAAGTTGATGCTTCAGTGTGTTGTTTGCTGAAAAACAAAAGCATTTGCTTTAAAACAAAAGTACTCTTTAAAGCTCTGTCATTTTCATATGATTCATGTGGTCATTCTGATTTACAGTATATTGAGCCATAAAAGAAGAATTTACTTCTCACAGATTGAACATTGAAAGGCATTGGTGCTGTGTGACTGGGTGAAATGAGAGGAAACCGCAGAAGGCCTAACAGTTAGATGAGCTGACTAATCGAATAATAGTTGATAGATTAATTATTTTTAGAAATAATCATTAATTGAAGTGGTAGTTTCCAGCAGTGTTAAGGAGTGCAGTCCTGGGACAGAGCTGCCAGAGAGAGAGCCGTCTTTTACATCCTCATAAATATAGCGTTATCGGGCAGTGGGAGCAGAGGGAGATTTATCCCGGTGATTAGCCACGATAGCATCCTTACCCATTAATCCAGTATGAAGACACTCTGCAACTCTCTCTCCCTCTCTCTCTCTCAAAATAAATGATTAGATATGAGGAGTTAATTATTTCTCATTTTAGCAGTGTTTTTCAGAGAGAACAGAGGTGAGATGCTGTGCTGCTCTTTGGAAGCGGTCCATGACTTCTTGGAGTTCTGGACTCCATGAATCCTCTGGATCTGAGTGAGCTGTAGGGTGTGCTGGACAAAATGCAAATACAAGATAGCACAATACTCTGATGCTCCTGCAGTACTAACACAATGAGGTGCTTAGACCCTCCTCCACCCTGAGCATCGCATACAACACACACGTGCACACACACACACACTTTCAGATCCGTAGCACTGCATGAGCCTTGCTCTTCAGTCAACTGTCACTTAGTTGTCAGTCTGTACGTGCAGATTGAAGCTGACTTTGCCACTAGGTGGTGCTATTCCTCTCACAAACTCTGTACTCTATTGAAGTCAAACTATCAAGATCAAGCTCCATAAAATTTGCACTGGAGCCTCTCTTCCCTTTGCTGATAGCCTCTATCCCTTTCTTTCTCTCTGTAGGATCACAGACCAGCGTTACGACAAGGTGCCATATTTTCTCTTTGGTGATTTTAACTTCAGGCTGGACTCAAAACAGGTTATAGAGGTAAGAATTCCCAATATCAACATACCTCTGAACACATCTCACTACCACCACATACATACCTTTCATGCCTTTGCTCTCTTTTTTTTCTGTCTCTTGTATACACACACACACAAAGTTTAATGTATGTGTGATCAAATTAGACACTTTATGACATCTTAATCAAACCCCCACTGTTCACTAAAGATGCCCAGACAGGACCTGGTTTTATAAGGCCCCTCATTAGCACATAGTGTGTGTGTGTGTGTGTGTGTGTGTGTGTGTGCGTGTGCATGCGCGTAAGAGAGAGCGAGAGAGAACAACCCTGTGGCATAACAATGCACTTTGCAGGCAGGTTAGCAAACACAGCTGGGCTGGGGCAGTAGTGAGCACATTAATGAGTCATAAATCTCAGAGTTGTAAAACGCCACAGCTACACCAGCAGTAGGACACTGTCTGTCCTTCATTCAGATGAGTGCTGGACCCTGCTCTGTGTTTCTCTTTTTTGCGCTCTCTCTCTTTCTTTCTCTCTCTCTCTCTCTCTCTCTCTCTCTCTCTCTCTCTCTCTCTCAAATACTCTCACATACACTCTCTTGTTCTCGCTGTGTCTGTCTTAGAATGTTTCTACTTTTGTTTCTCTCTCCCCATTTTTTTCTCTTCGTCATTTAGATGAGAGTCATTATTCTTCTTTAAGTCTCTCTTGTAAACACTAACTAAATGTGGTCCTATTAATACATGCTTATAGTGTGACGGCTGTGAGTGGTTTAGATATGGAAGGAGGGCGTATGTGTGTGAGTATGTGAGAGAGTGAAAGAGAGAGAGAGGGAGAGATTCAGGTCATTGTCCTTGCTGAGGAGGTTCTCACTGTTAAAGTGAAGGGGGGAGGAGAAAGAATGGAGGGCTTCCTGAATAGCTGAATTGTTTTCTTGTTGAATTGCTGAACAGTTGAATTGCTGAGCTATAATGATGCAGGAAGGACTTCATCCTGTGTGGTAAAGTAGATAATAGTCTTCCGCCATTCTCTTCTGCTGTGGCTGTAGTTCAGGCAGCCTGCCTCAGGGAGCACTGCTCACCCTGCTCTGGTGTTGTTTTATTTTTTTTTTCTTAGTAGACACCTATTCAAGCCTTCTTTCTTTTCTTTCTCCCCATAAAGCCTGGGTGGCCTTAAGGGCTTAAATCTGTATCTCTGGCATAATTAAAAAAAAAAAAAAAGAATCAGCATTTTTTTTATAAATGTACAGTATGAGACCTCTACCAAACCTCTGCTTCTATTTTGCATTCCTTTGTAATTAGATTTTTTTTCCCAGCATTTGGTATTTCCCTTACTTGTTCTAATGACAGAATGCAAGTTGATTAACTTAAACAAGCCTCAGACTTTTGGAATTACAGTATGTGATGCTATGAAAAACACCAAGTTTCGGATATATATATATATATATATATAGAGTTTGTGTAAGTTTTGTGATATATAAATTATATCTAACTGTATATAACAGTATATAATTATATATAACAGTAATTAATTTCTGTTGTTTTGGTATGTAGTCTGTCCTCCGAACCAGGATGCCTTGTTTTCCCAGGATGCCCTGTGATTGTCTTGGAAGAACGCCCATGTGATGCTGTCGTTGGTGTGTGTGGGTGGGTGGTTGGATACAGGTGGCACATTCTTGACATGCTTGTGCGGCAGGATCAGTAACCAGAGGCGTGGGGCCAACCTCTCTCTCTCTCTCTCTCTCTCTCTCTCTCTCTCTCTCTCTCTCTCTCTCTCTCTCTCTCCCTCTCTCTCTCACTCACACACACATACGCGCTTGTGAACAGGGGACTTCAGTAATTGTGTCAGACAGAGGGGAACTGGCTTCAATTGACCCCCATTTAGCAGCACTTTTCACTAGGGACAAAGAATACAGCCACGTGGGTCCTAATGCTAAAGCATCTCACTCTGAGTCTCTCACACCTCTCTCTGTTTCTGTCTGTATCTATCTATCTATCTGTCTATCTATCTGTCTGTCTATCTGAATGTATACATTTTTGACAGTGGAATCTGATTAATGGAAGTCAATGTTTGTCTCACTTATAGTATACTCTGTGTAGAAGAGCCAGTGGTCTTAGAGTTCTTACATAGAGGAATAATGTAGACATTATTACATATTTCTTATATAGAAGACAAAGATTTTGAGGGTATTCATAAAGTAGAGTGGTCAGCGTCCACCTGTGTGTGGTATGGTGTGTTCTAGCCACAGCAGAGTGCTCAAGTGCATGCTGGGATTGAAGGAGACCCCGAGGTTTTGCTGGTAGTGAATTAGCGAGAGCAGTGACAGCACTGCAGCTGGGCGCCTGCACACCAGTATATTTAAAATCTCTCCTAATTAAACTTAATAGAATGTAAATTTAATTTCTGCAAAAATGGCTTGGTCCTCATGGGCCGTTCCAATTTCAGGATTGATAGAGGCCAGCAGGAAGGTTAATTACTGACTTGATCTACTGTCCTTGTGACATAACTTGTGCTTGTTTTAATTGGAGTTTATCCGCTGCTTTCGTGGGCTGCTGTCATTATGCTGGTGATTTGAGGAGACACACTTGAGGGCTAGTGCCCCCTGTCTGCAGCAGAGGGGGAGTGCAGGAAGAGCCCCTCGCACGCATCAATCTTTCCTGCTTTTGTCCCAGCCGTTATGTGGGCTGAGCAGCATGAAATTAAAGGTGGAGCTGTGTACAATCCACTGCACTAAATGAGGGCTGTAAACTGCTCGTTAATGACAGGCACGGGTAATAAAGATTTCATTTTTCACCGTTTGAAGAGGTTTACAGCGCACTCCAGGTGCCAAAGTCAACTCAGTCATTGTTTGTTTTTAGAACCAGAGAGGGAGAGAAAAGAAGGGCTTAAGATGTGTGTGTGTGTGTGTGTGTGTGTGTGTGTGTGTCTGTCTGTGTGTCTGACAACATGTGTGTTTGTTTGTGCATGAGAACCTACGTGTGTCGTGTGTGTGTGTGTGTGTGTGTGTGTGTGTGTGTGTGTGTGTGTGTGTGTGTATATGAGCTAAAGTGTGTTCTGTGTTTGTGTGTTTATATGTGTGTCCACATTCAAGTGTTTACATGGCTGTGGGCAGGCCGGGTGGCATGTGGTACTGGGCTGCAGCCATGCTGGTGGGCTGTTGTGAGAGGGGGTAGGGCCGTGTTTACTGCTGAGATCTTCTTCACACAATAAGGCTCCATTTCACGCTGCGTTTGTGCACATGGCCTGCCATAAATCAAAAGACAGGCAGGGAAATTAAGTGTACACTACATTAGTCAGGCTAATTAATTTTGGGACGCATCCATCCATTAGTCAGTGGGCGTGCACTGATCGGCCCTCTGTTCTACGAGACTCCTGACACCAGACATAGTGACCCTCGTCCACAGCTGATAAGCTAGCACTTAACACACACGCACTTGTATTTGCTACATATGACTGATTTAAAGGCTGATCAGAAAACTGGTAATTTGTAGTGTAATTCTGCTGTAGCACAATACGGTAATATTTGTTTTATTTCTAGAAAGAGTTTTATCATTTGGTTTGCTCTCTAGATGCATTATTATGTAGGACTCGCACTGATCGTGAAAAATGCACAAAAGAGGTTAGCAGATATTCAATACGTTCTGTTAGTTAGAGTTGCAACATGAATAACATTATTTGTTCTTTGATGGGCCAAACTGACATTTTAAATTCTTGAACACAAAATCACCTGTCTCTTTACGTAAGAATAAGAAGTAAAGAAAGAGATAACTGACTAATATGGCACAATGAGTTATGCATAATGATGTTGTAGTGTTTTGGTATAGATGTAATATAGGTGTACCAAAAGTGTGAGGACGCTTACCTGGCTTACATTATTTACATCATATAATTGTGACAGTTGGCTAAAGTAAAAATAATAAATTGGCCAGTTGCTAATTGTGTATTTGGAGCAAATATCTGATTGCATATTTGGAGCAAAGTATTTGGAGCAACACTAGTTAACACAGTTAACACTAGTTTAACACAAAAGATTGTGTATTGTTAATGGTTAAGTAACACTAATAGTAGTGGCATTGAATATTGAATAACGGCAGAGTAATTATTTAATTGAAATCCTTTACCATCATAGGATTAGTTAATAAGAGGAGTCTTTATTTTTCTGTGTTGTGTCATCAGCTAATTATGATAAGCATCACGATACGCTATTAGTCCATATAAACCCACATGATCTCTCTGATAACCTCAGCTGATAGACGGAGAGCATTAGCAATGAACAAGTGCTGCTTTCTCTCTCTTTCTTTCTTTCTCTCTCTCTCTCTCTCTCTCCTCCTCCCTGTCTCCCCCACCCTCTTTCCCTCCTACTCCATCCCTTCCTCTCCCTCTCTATCTAATAATACTAATACAAAGAGAGCCACAGAGAGAGAAGGAGAGTGTGGTGGCTTTGATCGGGGACGTAATTAAAAAGCAGAGAAAATGAAGAACAACTACTGGCCTCTGTTCCTCTTGGAGCCTGGTCCCCAGCAGGCTGGTCAAGTGCTCCTGGGGCCTGGCCCCATTGTGCTGGGCTCCACAGGCAGCCGATGGGGGCGAAGGGGGCGCCTGGCACTGGACGCCACTGTGGCCTGTCACACATACCCCCTCCGAGAGCTTCCTATGACTGTATGGTGCCACTTTATAGAGCCCCTGCCCATATGAACCCACTCAGCCAGTGGAGAGTGAGCTCTTTGATTCTTTGTGTTTCATTTAAAGATCTGATAGCTTTCTCAGAAATGCATGCGTTTTAAATTATTTATGAATTGTTTAAATTTTAATTTATACAAGTATTGTGTTAGTTAAAAGTTAAGAAATTAAAAATGTAGTGTTTGGAATGATGGACAGAGCTGTAGATACTTCTAAAATGACTGAGACAACTGAATAACATTTAAAAATAAAGGTAGAATTGACATTCACAAATGCCTTGTATTTGAAAATCTCAAACATACATATGTATACCGGTATACATATGTATACCGAGACACTTTTTTAGCAACTT